TTTTGTGAATGATATGTATTTTTCTTCGGTATTCGGTATTACTTCAACTTCTCCAGGATTATTCCCCAATTCCTTCACTATGAAATGTGAGTCATAATTACTCAAGTTATGCATTATAACGGGTATAAACGGGGGATTTACACGTTTTAAATTACAATTATTACAAGATGGTCCTAAGTAAGTTCCTGTTAGGTGGCAATGATCTCTAACTTTTATATTATTTTCATTAAAAAATACTTTTTGGCACATGTAACATGTTTTAGTTTCAGCCCAATCTTCCTCTTCTTCTGATGAGATCCTCATCGGTTTCTTTATCTTATAAATTTCTTGTATTTGTTTTGCTATTTTTGTAATATATTCCATAAAGTGAGAAGCGGCATTTGCCCCCTATAAACGTACGGTTCTGTTATAGGAATGTCTACTCCTTCAATTCCTTTAACGAATATACAAAACGATATCGGATCATGCCTCTGATATTTGGTTGTACTCAATGATGGTTCATTTATAGGGACTAATATGGATTCGAAGTTAGCATAGATAACAAATGGTACTTTACTTTGTCACTCCACATTTGAGAATCTGATAAAAGGATCTTTCATCGGTAGCTCTATTCTTACAGGTTTATTTTCAGAGCAATATATTTTATGTTCCTCAAGTTTTTCACTTGCTCGCTTCCCATTAAAATGTTGTTGAAATGTTTGAAACGACGCTTACAAATTGCAATTTTATGTCCATCATGACTAATTTGGTTTCCGACTAATCTTTCAAAATCCTTTATATAAACATAATGGGAAGTTTGATCATCAGAAAGGAGTAAAAGATCCCGATGGTCTTTAAATTCCGTTTTGCATACTTTCAGAGGATAAATTTTTGTTTTTTCATCCAAGCCATAAACATTGATAGATATATTATTTATCTTTTCAAATTTTGTTATCTCGTTGAGAGAAGTTGGGAATGAAATGCAATTAAAATCATACAAATGTTCTAAATTGTTATACTTGGTAACACGTTGAGCATTCTTTTCCACAAATTTTGCTAAAATGGAATACTTGAAACAGTACATGTCATTATTCTGTACATTAATGCAACATTTCTTCAATTCTATAGATGCAGGGAGAGGAATATATGTAGATCCTCTTAATGGTAAATATTTGTTGATTCTCAATCTGATGCCATCAACTCCACTCAGCTTCCATCCACTTTTTTGAAATTGAGACTCCTCTGCTTCGGTTTTAATCTTGATAAAACTATTCTCAATAAATTTGCCAAGATCATTATTTTTAAATACAGCTTTGTTTCGTGTTTTGAATGCTCTATCATTCATTTCACCAAGAGAATTTGTAAATGTACATTCCAATAGAAAATTTACTTTTAATGCGTTATGTTGATTTAGTAAATCTTGAATTTTATCCGCTAAGAGCTTCTTAATACTTTCCAAAAATGAATTAATATCCATACAATCTGGCGATCTAACGAAGAATGACGTTAATCTGTTTTGAAACGCTGTTTCATACATATTAATTCCCTGTTCATCTGGAACGAGTGTTAGCACTTCATTTTTTTGTGGCTCAGATAATTTAGATTTTTTTAGGAACGGTTCCTGGGTGCAAACATCTTCATGTCTCTTACCGTTATAATCATTTGAAAAAACTCCTCTACATCTATTGCAAGTATAAGCCGAATTACCATTACAAGATGTTTCATGTCTACGAAGATTCTTCAAATACTCATAAGAATTTCCACAAAAGTTACATTTGAACTGATCCAGTTTTGTCGTTATAACAAAAAAAAAAAACTTATACGATTTATAATTAGTGTGAACAATGTTCGAAAGTTGAAATTTAAAAAAAAGATATTTATAACCTATACAATATAACAATATATATGAAATCTACAATATAACAAGAAACAATAAATATAAACTACAAAATTAAAAAAAATATATAACCTCTATAATTAAAAAAAATAAATATAACCTCTTTAATATAAAAAATAAATAAATACATATAACTTCTGCAATACAAAAATAAATAATAACCTATACAATATAACAATAACTATAACCTATGCAATTGATAACTAAACAAAATACTATAACCTACAAAAACTAAATCAAACAAAATAATCTATACAACAAACAAAGATTTATATCACCGCAAGACGATGTTCACACTACGATAGCAAAGACGCAAATGAGGTCTCGTGAAACTGACATCTCTTATATACTCTTGAATGGCCAGTACTACCAACACAACCTAAATAATTATCAATACTACCAACACAACCTAAATATTAATTAAATATAATGCAACATATAGGGGTGTGATGTCACTGCCATCAGAATCACAGATGTACATCTAAGGTATTGTCCACAGCCTCCTTGATTTTATGATGCTGAGGTATATTTTTGTTATGTGCACATTCATGTTATTTTTTCTAATATTTTCTCATATATTTCATAAATAAAACATAATTACTTTAGTTAAATCCCTACGTTCATTGCTAATTGCATATACAATTTCAAACATTTACGTACAATGTTACATATTTGTATACCATTTTCAGCAATTTTCAATAAAATATACCATTTTTACCTATATTTCTTACCATTTTCGTCTATATTTAGCATATATATTCACGCTTTATACGACAATTTTAATAATATGAACCCATTTATATTAGTTTCATAGGCACTGTTATAGTTATTTATCTTATTTTACTCCATTTTCCGCTATTTTCAATAAAATTTAACATTTATGCCTAAATTTCATATACTTTTTGTCAACATTTAACATATATTCAAGCTTTATACTACAGTTTAAAACCATTTACATAAAAGTTTTATACTATATTTGTCTAATATTTGACACTATTTTTTTATTATATTTTTACCCAATTTCCAATAAAATTTGCCATTTTCACCTCTATTTATATTATTTTTCTTCTAAATTAACATCAAACAAGAAAATTCACACTACATTTTCAATCTCATTCTACTTATTTTTTAACAAATTCACTCTTTACAATACAGTTTTAAACCATATACATCAATTAGTTGGACAATTTGATACTATATTTATCTCATATTTCAACTTATTTTTTTTATGTTTTCACCCCATTTCCAATAAAATATCTCAGTTTTACCCATTATCTTATCATTTTCGTATATTTATAACATATATTCATGGTTTACTTTACAATTTTTAATATTTTTATCGTATTTCAATCGGTTACATAGACATTTTGATAGTATATTTATCTTATAATAGAACATATTTTTGTATTTTTACCCCATTTTCAATAATTTTCAATAAAATTTACTATTTTTACCCATTTTTCATCTAGTTTAACACCAAACGTCGAAATTCACATCACTTACTTAAACAATTTATATAAATATAATTGTATAATATTTGAAACTGTTTTTCTATATTTATCTTATTTCCAGCAATTTTTAATATAATATATAACGTTTATATATAATTCTTGATAAAATTTAACATATATTCAAGCTTTCAGACTACAGTTTTAAATATTATATTAGTTACATATAAACATTTTTATATTAAATTAGTTAAATATAAACATTTTTACATTATATTTATTTCGTATTTTCAACAATTTTCATTAAAATTTACCATTCCTAACTATATTTTTTTGTTTACATTTATCATATATTTATGTTAAGTAATAGTTTTAAGTACTGTTACTCTAATTTCTGCTATTTTCAATAACATTTAACATTTTTACCTATATTTCTTATAATATTGGTCTATATTTACCATATATTCACGAATTTCCTTTCAATTCGATGTATATTTACCTAGTTACATCATAGCTATTCAGATAATTTTTAAAAACATATTTATTTAATATTTGATAATATTACTATATTCCTTCATTGAAAATAGTCCATTTGTTGTATATTTACTCCATAAAATTTACCATTTTTACTTAAATTTAACACATATTCAACTATTTTCTCCACACACAACAAAGTGGAGAAAATAGTTAAATCAATGGATACATTTAAATGAAAACTATAAGAAATACAGTAAATTTTGTTAAAAGTTTCTTAAAATGGTGTGAAAATACGTTCAAATGTGTAATAAATAAACAATAAAAATTGTTATTAAATTACTAATATCAATGTATTTGAACTATTTAAACTATAGTGTGAAAGTGTGAATATATGTTAAATTTTATCAAGAATTATAGATAAACCTTATATATTTTATTAAAAATTACTGGAAATGAGGTATATTCTATCTATATATTATCCATATCAGGATTAGGCCTCATTCTGACTGCCATACTTTTCCAAAATATCATATTTCCGGCAAGTGGTAAACACTTTTGAATCCCTAATGTGTTCTGCTTAAGGTCAAAAACCTGGCAGATGACAACGCGAACCAAGTCTCCATGTCACTCGTGTATGGCCATTAGTTTTGCTGCTCCCGTTCAAAATGTCCAGTGAGCCAGTGCAAAACCAAAGGCACAAACACCACAATGTGTCGTGGTGGGGGTCTAGAATAGGCATGTATTTAAAAATATATTTTTACTTTTCTTTTCTAATTTAAGTTCTTTTTTTTGTTCTTCTTTAATTTAAGTACCCAACATTTTTTGCTACAGGCAATTTAATGCAGGTGAAAACTTGAAGCACGGTTAGTTAAGTAGTAATGTCTCTAGGATCAGGCATAATCAACCCCTCGGGGAATGTTCAAATAATCAAACATATTTTGCCCATCAACTAATGAATAGTCAAAATTGGAAGAATTAAGTATTAAAAATACTTTTTGTGATACTTATTTCAGAATTTAAAAAAAAAAAGTCAACTAACATGAAATCGTCACATTAATGCTAAAAAAATAACTAATTTCTAGTATCAGTTTTTTTGTGATTTACTTGGCAGTAATTTTGACAAAGGCTCCAAAAATACTGATAACTATCTTAGTTGTAAAAGTTTTTCTATTAAGATGAAAATGAAAAAAAAAAATTACCCAAGGAATATGTTGAATAAATAACTGGCTTTGCATCTTTAAACCAAGTGATGACAGGATTTTTTCCTCCAGTTATGTAACACTTTATTTCAACTGCTTTGCCAACATCAATTATTACTTGCCTACTGGGCTGAAGATTAACAGATAATGGAATACCAATCTGAAATAATAAAAAAAACTTTTGTCTACCAATTTCTTTGCTGTGATTATGCACACAATAAAATATTAAGAAATGATAATGCAGGGAGTAAATTGATCACCTCCACACTGTGCTTCCTTGGTAACGCTAAATGATTAGTAACCAGTTCACAGAGAGAGACACCAATAAACACAGCCTCACACACAGTAAACTACCACTGCACATCATATTCACACACTAAAGATTAAGGGCAACAGAACACACCTCTGTAGCTGCTTCAGAAGGGAATGCCAATCTGTAGGCATCAAGCAACCCCATAAATGGATTACGGCTAGAGACCAGTACCCTACCAGCCTGAAACTTAACCTATCTAAAAACGAAGAGAAAATATAGCTGGAATGATATTACGAAATGACTTGTGCCACAGATAATAGTTTATAAGAATGGATGGAATTTTAAGGGACTGGATGGCATGGAAGAAAATAATTACGGAAAATAAAAGAAGGGGAAACAGCGAATAAAGGATGGAAGAATATACATTGACAGGCAAAAACTTCCACCCACTTGATTTGAACACAGCCATTGGCCTATGGACGAATGGAGTGCTGTACTTTTTACATATGAGTCAAGATTCGCTCTTCGATGTCCAGTCGGGCGCAAAAGGGTGTGGAGAAGAAGAAACGAAAGATATGCGCCTGTAATTTTTCCCAGAGCCAACCTTTCCAACGTGGTTCCTTAATGGTGTGTGCTGGGATTTCAATGGAGCGCCGCACAGAATTGGTTGTTGTTCGTGGAGGGTCTTTAATGGTCATTCGCTATGTAGATGAGATTTTGGAACCTCATGTGTTGCCTATCCTCAACGAAATCGGCGATCGTTCTATTCTAATGCACGATAATGCACGCCCACATGTCGTGCATAGTGCATACGTTCCTTCAACAGAACAATATTGAGGTTTTAGCCTGGCCAGCACGTTCTCCAGATTTGAACCCCATTGAACATTTATGGGATAACCTCGGAAGAGGAATAAGAGCGCGTGCAACACTTCCTGATACACTGCAGGACCTTGAAAGGGTTCTTTGGAAGAAATGGGCTATCCTCTAGCAAAGGGACATTTCCAGTGAAAGCAAGAGGAGGAAACACGCACTACTAAACGATGATGTAATTAATTTATTTTGGTTCGTTTTGGAATCTAGAATCATTTCATTGAATTAAGGATTAAGGGTTATTGTCCTCTATATTAACATTCCTAATTGAAAACAAACAAAAAGATTACCTATTTATTCATTAAAAACAATAGACCAATCCAAAGCAGAAATATTTTTAGATGAAAACATGAAAAAATCAAGAGGGTGGAATTGTTTGCCGGTCAGTGTATTTTGCTCTACTCTGGAGTCGCTAGGAGAGGAACGAGTGCTGGAGTGGGTCCTATGTCTGTTGCACTATAACTCATATCACACTGTTCTATCATTAAGTACTATACATAAATACTATACATTATTCCAATTTTTATTTTGGTTTGATATTTAAAAAAACTATTAGATTTACAAGCATTTTCCTAAAACAATTTTTCATTTGAAAAAAAACCAGTGCCACCACAACCCATGAAGGGTAGTACTATGTTAAAAAGTACTGTTACAAGGCCAACGGTTGCGCAGGGAGGTGATTGGACCAATATCACATTTAACCACCAGGTTTTCTCCCTTAATTAGTTAATTAATTAAGAGTAATCACTTAATAGAGGCCAGGTGGGCCTCAGCAGGGTCTTTTACCTAGGTTCGATTCACGGATGATGAAAAAATTCTGGTAATCAGCTCTATTCGAAGCTGGGACCTCGAGCACTAGAAGTCAGTGCTTACCCACTGAGCTACAGCGCTCCCGAATTCATGTTATATTCCTGATTTAATACCCAGCTCGATTTCATTTGAAAAGAAAACTAAATATAGGCGCCGAGAAAACACTGTGAGCTACAATTAATTATTGTAATTATTATAAATTATGATATTGAACTCTCAAATAAATATGGAACAACTGATAAAAAAAAATTATAAAAAGCGAAAATGTCGAGCAACAAAATTAATTCAAATTGGGTGATTTCAAATGGATTGATCCTAATATATTTTTTCTAGAATCATCTAAGACATCCAAGAACAAGAAAAGATTGCAAGCTATGGAATTAAGACATAACGAAGGTAGAAGAAAGAAAGCTAGGAGAAACAAGTTTAGAAAAAAGAGTAAAATAGACAGTAAACCAATGGAAAATATTATATCCTGAGGTAGTATGGCCATTTTAAGCAAATTCCAGATAAGTTTGGCCAAACAAGCATATCAAGTCAAGATACATTTGGAATGATAGAGTCAGGAAGGCCTTTCAAAGATGTGACATCAAGAGGAATAACCATGTGGAATGAGTTGACAATAGACAGAACCACTCTGCAGCAGCTTGATAAAAAGAAATCTCAAGCTGCTCAGCGATAAAGAGGGTTGCATTATAATGAAGATAAAGATAAAGATAAAGCTTTAGTAAAATTGCTCACAACTAAAATTTTTTACTAAGATTTTTTACTTTAGCATTAGATTTACAGACAAAATGTCTTACCTTACTACTTTTTTTATTTCAACTAGTCTTGAAGACATACAATAACAAACGGTTATATTGTTGTGGAGATAAGTTGACCTTGATTAAAATTTAAGGAGTTGGTGGGGAGTGGGGAGCGGTGCAGTCAAATCAAATACTATATATTATAATAGTATTTTATTTCTGTTTTATCTCAATAAAATACAATCATAACATATAGTATTTAAATTGTCCGCACCCGCCTCCTGACCAACTCCTTCCCAAACTAATAGTTATAGTAATAAAAATGGATATTCATATCAATAAATTAAAGCAATTGAAAAAAAAAATTGATTTTTAAATGAGATATCACAATTTTTTTCGGATTCAATGCTTCTGTGAATCTTTTTTTTTTAAATCTTTTTATTGAGAAATAATACATTTTTCCACATTTAAGGGCACTGAGTACTAAAGCTGAGTGAGGCCCATTCATACTATATATACAATGCAATAAAAAAAAAAAATAAATAATAAAAATATATATCTATATAACAAAGGTAAAAACTATAAAACCAAAGAAATGTAACTTGAAATCAAATTTAAAAAAAATACAGAAATGGGAAGCAAATTAAATAAGTCATAAGTAAAACAAATAAATATATAAAAAAGAAAAACATTCATACTTAATTACAATATTTACAATCAGCCAAGGGAGCTCCGAGTCCAGCCCTTTCCTCGACGTGTGAAGGACAAAGCGGGACTCTAAGAGATCCCAGCGCTTTTTTCTCAGTCGCGTCACCGGCATTGGAGTCCAGTGGAAACTGAGAGACGTCACTACAGCAACAGACGCTCATGACTTGAGTGGAGCGGCTGGCCATTGCCAGAACTCCAGTGACAGTTTTTACAAAAGAACTCGAGGCCACTGCCGTTTCAACCTTCGAGGAGGGTTTTAGGGGTGACTGGAGCTGGATAAGGATTGTGCTAAGGAGTTAGGATGGTGGATTAGGTTCAGATGAAAATTTGAGAATCGAGATGGAATAACGTCAAGGACATAAGGGATGTAAAGGTCATGATGTAGGGTTTTGTTTGTAACATAATAAGGAGCATTGACTATTATACGGAGGACTTTAGACTGAAAGGATTGGATGCGTTTGATGTTCGAAAATTTAGTTGTCCCCCACAGTTTAAGTCCGTAGGTCCAGAAGGGTTTGAGTATGGTCTTGTATATTAATAGTTTGTTTTCTATTGAGAGATTGGATTTTCTGTTAAATAGTCTGTATAGCTGGCCAAAATCGTCGGTTAACTTCTTGTCTTTTAAGTCTGGTATGTGGGTTCCAAGTTTGTCTTTTTTCTAAAAGGAATCCAAGATACCGAACTGTGTCTGAGATGGAGAGAGGTACAGAGTTGAAAAGGATATGTGGACAGGATCTGCGTCGGAGGGTAAAGGTGACATGCTTGCATTTGGATTCATTGATCTTAATACGCCAATTGTTGCACCATTGCTCAATTAGGGAGATGTGTCTTTGTAGGTTTAAGGATGCTGTTTCAGGATCTGAGTGGGATGACAGGATGGCGGTATCGTCAGCGAAAGTTGCTAGAAGGGTATCGGTTGGGTATTGGTTGGAATGTCAGCGGTGGAGAGGATGAAGAGAACTGGGCCCAAGACACTGCCTTGTGGATCACCAGCCTCAATTGGATAATAGTTGGAGAATTCAGTGCTGCAGCGGACTTGAAAGGAACAATTTGAGAGGTAGGATTTGACGACTAGGTACAAGGATTGGGGTAAGTGAGTTTCGAGCTTGAAAAGCAAGCCATCATGCCACACTCGGTCGAAAGCTTGCGCTACGTCCAGAAAGGCCCCGGTGCAATATTGCTTGTTTTCAAGCGCAGAGGATATATGATCAACAACGCGAAGGCCTTGTTGAATAGTGGAATGTCTTGAGCGGAATCCAAACTGATGGGATGGGATATTGTGGGTTTCGAGTATGGGTAGGATGCGTTTGAGAAGGATTTTTTCAAAGATTTTGGAGAGGTTTAGGAGCAAGCTTATTGGTCTATAGGATGAGGTATTATTGACAGGTTTACCTGGTTTTGGGAAGAGGATGATTATGGAGTGTTTCCATGTCAGAGGAAAGTGAGTTGTGCGGAGGATACAGTTGTACAGGTATGTGAGGAATATAATTGTTTTTTTTTTTGGGAAATTGTCTAAGGATCTGGGAAGTAAGGAGATCGTGTCCATTGGATTTTCGAGGTTTTAGGTAGCTTATAAGGAATTTGACCTCAGAAGGGTTGCTAGCTATAGGAGGCAAGGAGAGAGGAACAGGAGAAGAGAGGGATTTTTTAGCTTCAGCAGCGAAGGTGGAATGGAGTTCGGGGTAGAGAATGAATGTTTTGGATAGGTGTTTGGCAAATGGCGAAGCCCAGGTTCCATCAGCGCATCGGAGGGGATGGGAAACAGAATGGTAT